CCTAAGTCCACTTATGCATCATTTTCTTTCCCTAAGCTCACTAAACAAAAAGCATCAAAACCAGCTATACCTAATTTCTCATCAAATATAAGATTCAGCAATTAAGATCCAGCAGTTTAAAGTCACACTTATCAATTTTACCATACTTCCCAACAATTCCAGGTGATCACATCTCAATTCACAAAGGTTGCCACAGCCAAACTTTTGCCATCACTCCAGCAAAATTAAACATTTAAACACTCTAAATTTTTAAAAAATCATTATCCTAAATCCACTTATGCATCATTTCCTTTCCCTAAACTCACTAAACAAAAGCATCAAAACCTCATATACCTAATTTCTCATCAAATAAGAGAATCTACAATTACAAGCCAACGGTTTAAAGTCAAAACTTATCAATTTCACCATATGTTCCAACAATTCGATGTGATCACATCTCAAATTCACATAGATCGCGAAAACAGGAATTTTTCATACCGCAATAAATTCATCGAAATAACAGTAAACAAAACATCAATTCGATCGATATCAAACATAAATTTTCTGATAAGAAACCGAACCTGCCGGAGTTTTTCTCTTGCCGAATAGGAAACTCATCGTGATTGATCGATCGGCGATTGAATATTTCCTCTTCTTCTGAAAAACCGGTATAGTATTTCGGATTTATTGACGGAAGAAAAAGGGGAAAGTGTGGGGTTTTTGGGTTAAAGAATAGTCTTTTATGTACTACGCGGCAATAGTGGTTACTGAATCCATTCTACAACACGGCGAAGTTAGTGCGCGAATCCCAAAACGAAGTTTCCGGTCAGAGATGGGCTTTGTCTAATGGGCCGTGTATTGGACTCCAACTTTGCAATGGACGGGCTCAGGCCCATTGTGAACTTCACAATATTCGATTTTGAATATAATTTCATGGATTATGGACCCCCCTATCGCGTAGTTTAAATACATATATATATTTTACGACCGTTCGTTTAATTTCATGTTATATGAGTGTTGGTAAGTGAAGAACTTTCATGTCTAGAAAAATGTGAGTGGTGGAGATGAGGATGTTGTTGTGGATGTGTGAGCGTATAAACGAGATAAGATTAGGAATGAAAATATTCGTGATTAGGCGGGAGTGGCTCTCGTGGGTGTTATGATGTGGGATCCAAATGAGACTGAGATAGTTTGGACATGTGTGAATAAGAGATTTGCAAATGCCTTGTTTTAGGTGTGAGAGGTTGACCGTACTGGTTGTGATGAGGGGTATAGGTAGTAGGTCTAAGGAGTATTGGAATGGGGTGATTAAACAAGATATGACGCAATTTCAGCTTATTAAGGTCATTCCATGACAAAAGGTTGTAGAGGTCAGAGATTATAGTAGAAAGTTAGTAGAAAGTTAGACGTAATTTGTTCTCTTACTTAGTAGATAGTTACACTCTATTTGAATGATTATTAGGTATTGTTTCATAATATATCGCATTATTTCATATTATATTATATTATATTATATTATACTATTCTATATTATTTAAACGAATATAATACTTTAATAGATTGTATTATTCTCTATCGTTACATATAATGTTTAAAAAGGAAGGAAGTACATAAACAAAAGGATGGAGAAAAAAAAATACCCACTACTTTGCAAATTTGGTAAACCGACAAAACATAGGGCATTTTGGATAATTATTTTGTCGTTTTCTTTGCCGTCGTTTTGTGTCCAAAAGCCGCCAAAACCCACCGGGTTAAAGTCGCCCCAAACGCGCCACGTGTCTTCCTAGAATATGATTCTTCCGCGTGGTGACAACCCAACTTTACTACACTTTTTTATTATTATTATTCGAAATTAAATTTGTGTCGCATAAAATTCATTTAAGAGAAAAATATTTTCTAGTTTTTTAAAGTTCATACATAGTCAAATCTATAATCTCATGATGTTTCATATTTATATTAAAATTTAATTGATTTAAATTTGCTATCGTGTAAGATTAATTATTTAAGAAAAAAATGTTTTTTAATATATGTCTTGTTTGGATGGTTGTTATCAGGGGCAGCTCAAACTCATTGGTGGCCTAAGGCCAAAATTAAACTAGAAGCCTTAAAAAAAAAAATTAAAATGTTTGTATTTTAATTTTATTTTTTTTAACTTTTTGAGATGCAAAGTTGTTAATAATTTTTGTGTAGTCAATCTCTTCTAATAATTATTTTTCAATCGATAATATAGCCAAACCACTTCTAAAATTTATCAAGAGCACTTTTTTGAGATTTTATCAAGTTATCGACTTTTCTTTTTCATTTAAGTTTTGAATGACCGGATTCATATATTTTCTAGTTGACATATTAAAATCTAACAAATATTTTAAACACTATTTACAATATCAAATAAAAAATATAATAAACATAAGACACAAAACAAAAATAATATTAGAAATTAGAATGCTATTACCAGATTCAAGAACTATGAAGACTTGATTTCCGAAAATAAATTAGGCTGTTGCAGTATATTTTTCTCCAAATTTAAAATATAAACTATACAATAGAACAAGTAAATTCTTAAGTTTTGAACAAAAGAGAGATGTAAGATTAGAAAAGAGAAAGAAGAAATAGAAGAGCGAAAGAGAGGAGGATAGAATATATAAAAAATAAAATTAGAAAAAGAATAAGGTAAAAAAAAAGAAGATAACTTGTACATTAAAAAAAAAGTACAGAACTTTTTATTGGAAAGGAAAAAAGTAATTGTCATATCTATCACTTCATTAATGTCATTTGCATTTGTTGTCTTAGTTCTAAATTTTATTTTATGTTTTAGTTTAATCCTACCTAATTAACTAAAAAATGGGCCCCCCAATTTATTGGGAACATAAGGCCAAGGACTTTTTTTTATACCTACCAACCGCTCCTTGTTGTTATCTATTGTGTTGTATAGTTAGTTTAAATATAATATTTATTTGATTGTTACTTAATTTCTATTGCTTCAAATCATTTAAATTCATCGTTAGGTGATAACGAAAAGACTCATTTTATGTAATGACCAATTTGGTGTGATCTCGTCGTTATCTTAATATTTTTTTCTCATTTTGTTTTTATTTTATTATTTAATAATCATAATTCATCTTTTATACTACATTTTCATAGTATAATTCTATCGTGTACCCTATTTTTTTATAGATTTATCATTCAAAATATAAATGTGTGATATTATTTAATAACGAAAAACAATTTCAATCTATCTACACACTATATTATAATGTAATACATATGAAACAATACGCAAAAATAAATTTAAATTGTATAAGATTTACTTAAGAAAGGGTTCTGTTTTAAAAAAAAGGAGTCATTTGTCCAATTAATGGATAAGTCCATTAATTGCCTCAGCCATTTGGAACATACTTACTACTTTAATATTTGGTAAAATAAGTTACTTTAAAACAATTTTTTTTAAAGCGGAGGGTCTTTAGAGAATATATTTTTATTATTTAATTGTATTCTTAGCGATGTCCCTTCACGTGTGAAGTTAATTTTTTCATATTGATTTAACACGTAATAATTATTTTTGACATAAGCGGCAATGAGATTTAACTTCAGAAATTCCACCTAATCTAATATTATATTGAAGTGTGTGATCATCTTATTTAAAAACTTAAACCATCAAAGAGAAAAGACATACTCCTTCTGTCCCTAATTACTTGTCCATTTTGATAAATCAAGAAAGGATAAAATTTTTTACCGATTATACCTTCAATTAAATGATTAATTACTTTGAAAAATGTAAAATTTCATCCATTTCATAATTAATAGGAATAAAATGGTAAATTCACTATGTCATTAATTGTTTTCTTAATATGTGTGACAGTTCAAAAATGGACAAGTAATTTGACAATTACTCGTTATCGTTATTGTTGTTAGTGAGGTAAAAATTTAGTAGCGAAACTATAATTTTTAATATAAAAGTTCAAAATTTGAAAAAATAAATATACAAACTAATTAAATAAGGTTCGACATTAATATATACTAAAAAAAGTCATTAACAATATAGTATATATAAGTTTAGATGTATGAGGTATTTAACAGTAAAGGGCGGCTATTATAGGGAGCTATTTTACTAGAGTTACAGCGGAGTGTACAGAGTTGATGATGACGGCCAAGTAAATTAACTTTTGTTTTATTCAAGTGGGACCCAACGAAGAAGAAAAACATTAAAAGATGATAAAGTACTAAAGACAAAAATTATTAAAATAATTTGAATATTGGTGTTGGTGATGCCTTTAATGTGCTCACTATTTTTAATTTAATTTTTATTGTATTTTGGACTTGTATGTAATATATACTCCCTGAAATTACAATTTCTTTCTCCATCTTATAATTATGTAAAAAAAATTACAATGGAATGACAACTATTTTTTCATTTACAACTAAAAATTTTGGTTTCAAATTTTAAGAATGAAATAATCTTTGACTTACTTTCAATTTAACTTTTCAATAATAACAATACCAATAATATATTTAGTGTAATATAACAAGTGAGATTTGAGAAGAGTGCGTTATTATTCTATCTTTTTAAGGGTAAATAAATTGTTTCTAATAGACTCTAACTCTATTTTTTAATTATTTTTTTTATATTAAGTAATTTGACTTAGTAAAGATCTAAAATTTGAACTCTATTTATGTTATCCAAACACCATTGATTTAAAGAAAAAAAGGAACAAATTTTAAAAAAAAAACTTGGATTCTTGAATGTAAAAGTTGACTGAAAATAAAAAGAAATTTGAATATTTTGAAATGCCCCAAAGAAGTTTGGTTTAAATTAAATGCAGACAGAACAAATGTAAATTGTTGTCAAATGTTTGTAGTCCCAAAGTAGAAAAAGTACAATTAAATTAAAGTAGAAAAAAATTAATTGTTAATTACTCATCTTACTGTACAGTGTACACATCATAGCCAGCAAGAAGATGCACAGAGATTCTTATGCCATTTCTAACAAGGCAAACAAAAAAAAGATTTCTTTTTAGAGAGAGAGAGAGAGAGAGAGTTTCAAGGAAGGAGACATGCTTGATTTCATCCCAACAAGCAACACTTGTGTTTATTTCTTTTCTTAACTTTAGTGGATTCCACAGGTCCTTCTCTCAATCCATTCACTTTTTCATTTTTTATGTTCTTTCATGTTTAAGTATTGGATTTATTTATGTGTTTTTGCCCAATAGTTTTTTTCTTCTTTTTTGTTTTGTTGTTGATTTCTAAATTTCCCTTGATGGGTATTGTGTATTGGTTAGATAAAGAATCTACATAGTGAAAATCTTGAAATGCATGTGGACTCTAAAGTCAAAGGTGTGTTTTTTAAGATGGTTTTGTATATGAATAAGAGGAATAATGAGTAAAGTTGTAATCTTTATTGGTTTTCTTGTTGTAATAGTTTCATTTTGCTATTGATCTCCAAATTTCCCTTTTTGGATATTGTGTATGTACTGGTTTGGTTAGATAAAGAATGTTCTACATGGTGAAAATCTTGAATGCATGTGGACTTTAAAGTCAAAGATGTGTTTTTTTAAGATGGTTTTGCATATGAATAGGGGGGATAATGAGTAAAGTTGCAATCTTTATTGGTTTTCTTCTCCTAATTGTTTCATTTTGGTATTGATCTCTAAATTTCCCTTTTTGGGTATTGTGTATATACTGTTTTGGTTAGATAAAGAATGTTCTCCATATAGTGAAAATCTTGAATGCATGTGGATTTTAAAGTCAAAAGATATGTCTATTTAAGATGTTTTTGCATATTGATAAGGGAAAAAATGAGTAAAGTTGCAATCTTTATTGTTTTTATGTATACTTTCTGTTTATGGGTTGTGACAGGAAACTGGGCTTTTTCTTGTTATATCCATGGATGTGCTGTTGATGATAGTAACATTTGCAGAGTGGGGTTCTTGATGTAATAAAGATCTGCATAATTGATTGATTCTTTCTTGATCTTTTGTTCTATATATTTAGCATTATTGGTAAATTTGCTGCGATGTGACTTGAAGGTCACAGGTTTGAGCTGTGAAAACAACCTCTGTAGAAATGCATGTAAGGCTGTGTCCAATATGCTCTTATGATCTGGCCCTTCCCGGACCCTACACATAGCAGGAGCTTAGTGTAGTGCACTGGGTGGATTTTTTATGTGCATGCCTAATAGTTTTCTTCTTCTTTAAGTTTCATTTTGCTATTGATCTCTAAATTTCCCTTTTTGGGTATACGAATGTTCTACAGAGTGAATCTTGAATGCATGTGGAGTTTAAAGTAAAAAATATGTCTTTTTAAGATGGCTATGCATATTGATAAGGAGAATAATGAGTAAAGTTCATATCCTTATGGGTTTTCTGCATATTTTATTTTTTTGAGTTGTCATAGGAGAATGTGTTTTTTCTTCGAATATCCATGGAAGTTCTTTTGATTATAGTAATATTTGGAGAGTGGTGTTTTTGATGTAATAAACATTTGAATATTTGGTTGAATTTTTCCTGATCTTGTGTTCTAGGTTCTGATCTAGTGTTTTTCGCCTTATCTTTTTGAAGAGTTTGCTGGCTATGTTGCTCTGACTCTTCAAAAATATAGACGGGTGCGTGTGGGATACTCCCAAAAATAGTGTATTTTTGGAGAATCTAAGCAACATGGTTTTCTTGTAATATATGACTTGGTATTTTGATCAAGTCATCTTCTGGATATAAGATTCTCATGGTATTAGAACAAGATGCACGTGGTTTTTTGTTTTACTTTTTCCCATTGTTAATGGTATTTTTGTTCATTTCATTTTAGGTGGTCATTTTGCTATCTGATCAAATCCTTTTTGCTATGGTTTTATAGTCATATATATGAGTAGAGTATATTGGGTAGGTCAATGGCTCTTGTGTTAGATATTGATGAAATGCTAGTTACTGCATTTAAACATCAGTCACAGAATGCTTACCCACAAACTTCTCTTTTGAGGCGAGGTCCATTGAAAACAGCCTCTCTATCCCACAAAGGCAGGGGTAAGGTTTGCATACATCGTACCTTCCCAAATTCCGCTTGTGGGACTACATTGGGTATGTTGTTGTTGTTGTTGCCGCATAAGCCTGTTTGTCCTTGTGTATTTTATCACCTTATGGAGTTCGTATTGCAGTTCTACACATCATTCTCAATTAACACCTCACATTCCTTTCTCGGTGTTTGCTTGCACATGCCATTGAATTGTTTTGATGACTGCATGTGACTATGTTCCACTAGTTTCCTTGTTGACACTTCCTGCAAATCCATCCTGTTATATTGACAAGCTTAATATATAGCAGAATGGGGAGGTAGTAGTTCATGTAATAGGTCAATAACATTTTAAATGACTGCAGTTCTAGATAGAGTAGCTGTATATTCGTCTATGCAGTATAAGTCTGCAGTTCTGTATACCCTGCTTAGGATCCTTGAGGATTCATGCTCTACTCTTCACAGCCTGAAAATAGTCTCACTTATCGTCACTATAGATAGGAATGCTTCTTTTATTTGTATCTTCCTTCCGTCAACTTCGTAGAAATGATGAGGTAGGTTTTGATGCAAAAAGTAATGATAATCACATTATTTTTTTGAAGGTTCTTGGTTCCTGAGCTTTTTGAAAAGCAATCTCTGAAGATAAGAGCTGATAACTTGCAATATTCATACAAAATTTTGTGACAATTGCATTATAGCTTTAGTCATACGCTACAGTTTGTAGTTCAATATTACTTTGGTAGTTATATGCGACCCAAAAGGCCCTTCTAATAAATAGTGAAGGAAATTAGTGTGTAGTGTGTCCTCGTGTGTGTGTGTCTATGTGTGAGTGAAAAATAGCACAGGTTTATTGGAAGGTTTTGTTGATGTTATTGTTTCATTTTTCATGTACGCTATGTGATGCTTCCTCTAGTAGTTGTTATATTTCTTTATTTCTGTATGTTCTTTGATACGCGTTACCTGAGCCGGGGATCTTTTGGAGACAACCTTTCTACCTCCGTGAGGTAGGGGTAAGGTCTACGTACACTCTACCCTCCCTAGACCCCACCTTGTGGGACTACACTGGGTATGTGGTTTTTGTTGTTGTTGTTTGCTTTCAATAGCTAATCATGGTGTAGTTCCAGTGAACAAGAAATTTCACATAAAAAATTGGAAAATTGTCTCAGAAGTGGGATTTCCATCTCCTTGCTGTCAGGAGATATGAAGTCTTTGGATCCGGACTTACAAGGCGAGACATTGCGGTTGACACATTCAACTCTCAACTCCCAAGACGAAATGACTGCATCAGGGAAAACAAATTCTCAAGATCAATGTGCTTCCTCAGATTATGGTACAGATACTTTAAAGATCATTTAACTTTCTTTGCAAGTCTCTTCTGCTTATATTTTAATCTTCACTAGTCCAGTTTAATCAACTGACCAAGAACGTACTGCTTAAATTACGATAATGAATGAATTATGGGTGGCTCCTTTTCCTTCGAAGCACATCTCTGGTCCTTGCTTATACCAAATGATTTTCTTAGTCTCATCAAGCTGATAGCTTCCTCCAAGATTAATATAAAAAACTCTTCTGTCCATTTGGCTAGTTTTTTTTTTCCGATACATAAATAGCCTCTCTTTCACAACAAGCTTTAGCCTTTTTACTTGACGAAGTTCTTTTGCTTATAATGATTGGTCATCTTACATCTTACTTTTGATTTTCCAGTTCATGATGAAAGATATGGAAGAGATATGCAAGTTCAAATAAAGCCAGCTCTTTTTTCTTTGCAAAATGAATTGGCCTATTCAACTGTATGTTGTTTCTTTTTTTAGAGATTTTTGCCTTAGCTTTTGGCATAATCTAATTTATCGTTGTCTCACGTTGCAGGGTTTCTCTGCATTTGGCTACTCTGATCCCTATATCAGTGGCTTATATACTGCTTATGGACCTCAGCCTTATGTGAGTACTCTGCTTTGGTTTTTGTCTCTTGTATGTACTCCCTCCATGCCAAAATAAGTGTCACTTTAGCTCGTTTCACATCCGTTAAGAAAAATAATGGATAGTTTAGTAAGTTACTCCTATTTATTAGATGTTTCTTGGGAATTGAGCACTATTCAGAAGATTGTCTTGAATTCCTAAGGTGACACTTATTTTGGGACAATTTTGTTTTGCTAAAGTGGCACTGACTTTGGGACGGAGGGAGTACTTGATTGCAAAAGCTTATATCATTTCTCTTCTTTGACTTGTCTTCATTCCGGAGGCTACCACTTTCTGTTAAGTTTATTTTTCAGATATTCTCCTAATATTTTAGGCAGATAATTATCAATAATGTTATCAAGGATCATAAGTTTTTGTTGATCTCAAAAATGTTGTGGATTTGGTATGTGGGAATATGCAATTTTATGATACGCGAAAGCACAATATTTTGTTTCCCTGAATCATGCTTTAAACACTGAACAGAATTCTGTCATTCTAGTTGTAGCTGCTGTAAGTTTGCAAAGGAGATGGATAATGGCATCACATACCGACTCCTAATTATCTCGTAAATGTTCTAATTTTGATACTTGGTCAATGCAGCCTCATATGATGGGCATAGCACCTGCCCGTGTCCCACTCCCCGTTGATATGGCAGAGGATGGACCAATCTATGTTAATGCAAAACAGTACCATGGGATCCTAAGGCGGAGGCAGATACGTGCAAAGCTTGAGGCTCAGAACAAACTTGTCAAAAATAGAAAGGTATTTTGGGTACTTTCTGCTCTTCTGCACCTTTAGTAGGTTGTTAAGCTCATTTCTCTGTCTTGATTCATTCAATGACAATCAATTCGCTGCAATTTTCTCTCATTCATTTGTATTTAGGAATAATCAATACATGATCAGGCATTATTCTGTCAAGTGCTCAGTGTTACTGTTTAAGTCAGGATTCCCCAAGTCTCTAGTTACTGTGGTTCTTCGTTAATGTTGTACTACATTTGTCATCGTTGTCTTGACTAATGAAACTTGTCATACTCCTGCTTCATTCTTTAGAGAATAGCATCTAATGTTGTATTCTAGTATGAAAAGCTTTGTCATTTTGATCATTATGGCAGAAGAAACATGCAACTAGGTAGGTTATAGATATCTAACGAAAGGAAAAAAAGTAGCCAACAGACAATCTTCTTCCGGTGAGTGGAGGGAGGACACTAGTGGCTTTGCATTTCCAAGTTTTGGGGCAAACATTATGTGCTACTCGAGCTAGTCTGTAACACCAGTAAACAAATAGGACCATGTGCACAGAAGCAAATCAATTAGGAGGACTAGTAGAAAGTCCAGGGTTGTGTGGTCCCCAATTATACGTTTCCTTTAACTTCTTGACTTATACTTATATCAGTCTTCAATATGAATTTTGGGCTTATTCGTCTGCTCATCTGTTGCATGCAGCCTTACCTTCACGAGTCACGACATCTTCATGCAGTGAACAGAGTTAGAGGGTCCGGAGGACGTTTCCTCAGCTCAAAGAAAGTTCATCAATCTGATCCAAATAGTTACCCTACTAACTCAACTTATTCTCTAGACTCAGTTGAGCATGAAGGTTCAACTTCTGCTTTCTCAAGTGTCCGGCAAGATGTCGTCCACAATGGCATCAACTTCCAGCAGCAACCTGATCACATGGCCTTCAGTGTATCCTCTCACATGGTTATTACCATGCAAGGCAATGGGACTCAGCAACGTGCTCCAGTTGTCCGGTGATTATAAGTTCTTAACTGGCTAAGACAGTCACCGGCAGGCAATTCATCCTTGGCTTTTACTCTTTTTCCATTATGTCTCGGGTTTTTGCAAGTGTCAACTTGTTTCTACTGTTATAATGGTGAATTTGGTCGTTATTAATCCTAGATCTAGATTGAAGAAAAGAACGTCTTTCGTTCTGTATTAGTTATCCGTTTTGCTGCATGTCTGCACCTAGCATGGAATGGTTATGCAGTGAAGTTGTTAAATGATAAACTGAAAAGAAAATGAAACAAAATGGTTGCTGGTTGTGTATTGAGTGATTCAAGAGGTTCATGTAATGCTACTATGTTTAGTGAACTTGAATTGAATCTATCTTTTGTTTTGTGTTTTGGAACTACTTTAAGAGCACATGAACATTTTCCTTGAACGCTCTTTGACTTCTTCGTGTATTTATTTCATCATGTTTTCAAACACCTGTAATGAAAATTTTGACTCCGACACTGATTATGACCATCTATCTAACATCACTCAAAAGGACAAGCATATAAGAGAACATCAATGTAACAAAGGAGAAAACTGACCTTAGCATAATTGATTAAAATGTAGTACAACAAGAAAACAAGATGTGAGATTTCATTTCACAAGGAAAACTGCTTCTGTCAATCAACTAGATATTTCTCCTGCTACACGAGGAGTTGATGAATAAATCAGTCAATACTGAGATGATAATTCAATTATTGATACAATTTCAGAAGTTCATCCTTAAATTTCGCCTTTAGGGGTTCGCGCTTCAGTTTGAGAGCTGCAGTGACTAATCCGGACTCAGGCGTCCATGGCTCGGGTATCAACTTGATCTTTGCAGGAATCTCAAACTTGTCCAATCTTGCAGCTTTGCCTACCTGCATTTCAGTTAACATTTATCTACACTTTCAGCACACTCATAGTTGAAAAACTTCCCAACACACAAATTATTGCTATAAGAATTAGAGATGAGGCTCATTCACTTTTTGCAATGACAGGTAGCATTCTTCAATTATGTCTCCTAGGATGTTCTCTCTTATGATAGTATTGAGTTATCTATGTCGAGCTAGTTAGCACCGAGCTGTCATAGGCCAATATAAACCCACAAGTGGGGTCGGAGAGAGAGGGGAGGATGTACGCAGACCTTACCTCTACCTTTGTCGGGTAGAGAAATTGTTTCTGATAGACCCTTGTAACTGATGCAGGAAGCAAGAAAGAAAAAGAGACAACAAAATAGCAAATGTACAAAATAAGTGTAACAACAAATATTAATACACATTGGGAAAAAAGGGACTACGTGATACCTAAATCATACTACTAGAAGTACGACAACACTCGACTACCTATAGCTACTAACCTTCTACCCTAATCCTCGACCTCCATAACGTCCTCTCTAAGGTGATTTCCTCCTCAATAGGGATCGTCATTGATGATAATTCGGATGAAAAGGAGACAAACCTTTGAAAGTGATTGCTGGACCTCATTGACTGCTTCAACTTTGTTGCACAGATCGGAAAAAGCTCTATGCTCGATGCCATTTTCTTGCGCCAATTTCTCAAGCACCTTTTGTGAAGGAACAACTAGTGCTACGCAGTAATTGTGAAAGGGGTCTGCATAGGCCATGATATTATCCACATAATTGCTTGAGGAAAGTGCAGCCTCAACCTGCAACGAGCATCAATTCGTCATTACAATTGCCATAAATCAAGACTTTAATAGCTGCAAGACATTCAGGATGAAAGAGAGCAAAGCAAAAAAGACAAATAAAACCCAGATTAAGGCCAAAATAACAATCCCAATAAATATTATTACATCCCTCAGTTTCAATTTGTTTTGTCTGGTTTTGACTTGGCACGAAGTTTAAGAAAGTAAAGAAGATTTTTGAAACTTGTGATCTTAAACTAAAGAAACATACCTTTCCAAGTGAGATATACTCCCCGTGCTGAAGTTTAACAATATCTTTCTTTCTATCAATGATTTCGAGGCATCCATCAGGATGAAACCTTCCAATATCACCAGTGTAGAACCAGCGCATCCCTCTCTCGTCCACCTGCATTTAAGATATTAAAAACATGAACAGGCTTGCGGTATAACCAATTTCAGTCCATTTACAAGCAGTAGCTCAGAAGTACCTTGTACGCCTCATTAGTTTTATCGCTATTGTTGAAGTAACCAGCAGTCACACTGTTCCCACCAACAATTACTTCACCCCGAGGCATCGGCTTATCAGCAATTGTGTAACCTCCTTCTTCCCAAGAAATAAGCTGTATTGTTAAATACATTACATATTAATAACAAAACACCAACACTGTCATAAAAAGCGGAAAATTCCTAAACTTATTGAGTTAATAAAGTTTGCAAGAAAATGAACAAAGGGGAACAACGGTCTCCAGTACTTATTCTTTAGTTTCTGGATTTACTAGCTTTTTTCTATTTTGTCCATACCTTTATATAGCAACAAGGAAGAGGTGGACCAACACGACCAACAGAAGGATCATCCGACTCAGAAAAGGCTGCTCCTGCAAATGTCTCTGTCAAGCCATATCCCTGACCAATAGGCGCTCTGCAACAACAACTACGCCTCAGTCCCAAACAAGTTGATTACAAAAATTGTAACATTAAACAGTCCATCCAGACAGCAGTGTCGAAAAAACTGTAGAGTGTATTCGGAACAATTTTCTGATGTAAAGAAAGCAGAAAAGTTACCCCATACAAATGTTGATAAATCTTTGTGTATCTCCTGACAGAGGAGCACCACCGCAAAGCATGAAACGGATATCTCCTCCAAGTACTGACCGTATCTTCTTAAAAATCATCACCTCCCATAATTTTTTCTCTAGACCCCATGCTCCAAACCAGCTACCTTCTATAGCAGTCAATCGGCGTTTAAAGGCTATATCGAAAAGTTTCTTGGCAGATCCTCCCTTTTCCTCCACCTAGATTAAGGAAAACATAATCAAGAGATTATTACTTCATTTGAGGCCCCATAATCCCAACTAAAATATGCACTCCAGTTTAAACCTTCTTTATAACACCGTCCTTAACACGATCCAGAATGGCTGGAACTGCTGCCATTAAAGTAGGCTTTAAAGCTGAGGCATCTCCTTTGGTCCCATTCATGATTTTATTAGATGTATCTGTCAAAGTCAGAGCCGAGCCATAACCGATTGAAGCACCAGCAGTCAACATAACAATCTGCAAAACCAGAATCACTCAGAACTACTTGAAAAACAGCTTCTGCTACTTCCTAAGAGAAATTCTTTTCTCCCAAAAGCTTAGCCGAATACTTCACTATTTTAAAAATAAGCACTTTTGACCTCCCAAAAGCTTGCCAAACAGGCTATAAAAGAACAAACGATGTATAACGTCTGAAGATTACCTCAGCCGCTAACTCAAAAACATGAGCTAAAGGTAGGTACCCCAAATAGACATCATTTCTGCCAAGTTTTGGAATGACAGTCATAACTGCAGCTGCCGTGGCTACAATGTTGCCATGAGTTATCATGACACCCTAAAAAAACAAAACAAAAGAGCTTAATTGAGAATCATTCAAGTAAATATTTTAACACACAAAGAGGTTATAAAGAAAATTAAGTTTGTTCAAACTGTAAACTAAAAGAGAACAAGTAATGCATTTTTCTTTTCACTAAGGAAAAAGTATTGCATAGGAAGAGATAGGTATCGAAAGTATAAGACTTTTGAGGTTACATCATGACAAAATTTAATACTCATTTTTGTATTTGTTGGAAGTCTTCCTAAGGTAAAACGCCAAGCGCGTGTCATGACTACTTTGTCTTTGAAAAGGCATAGTGCTGTTATAGAATTCACTGTTACAAAATTGAATAAGCTTTATGTCCTAACAAAAGCTAGAAAAGGAAGGAGCTCTCTTTTTTTTCAAGCCCTTCTCTCAAAAGGAATATAGTGCATTATCGCCTTTTGGGAGGTTTCAAATCAAATCTAGTATAGAAATTTTGTGAATACATCTTAAAAATCTTTGGTTGAAGATGTATATAATAGGTGATTTTGCTAGAATAGGAAAAAATGAGACATTATTATTCCACCATTACCCTATTCTTCAATTTTAGCACTACCGTTGTTTCTTTTACTTTGGTTATCTTTACTATTTTTGTTGTCAATACTTTTCTTTTCTTCGATATTTTCATCATAGCTTGTTTTACTATTGTATGTTCAAACCTGTTTTGAAAAATCGGAAACAACCTCTACCCCATAAATGTAGGGATAAGATCTGCGTACACCCCAACCTCCCCAGACCCCACTTGTAACATAACATTGGGTATGTTGTTGTTGTCATAGGCAATAATGAAATTTTAACTGTTTGACTCCTGCAAAGGATACTTCTAGTCTGTAACCACTCTGACCACGAGCAAACCTCTGATACTCTATCCCATTGAGAAATTGAGAACATATTTGGTTGTGTTTGACGTTTTCTCTTGCATTCCAGCTCAAAGTTAAATATCATATCAGAAGGAAAAACTAAAAGCAAGTTGCATTATACCTTAGGCATGCCCGTGCTTCCACTTGTATACATGATCACCGCGATATCTTTCTTTATAGGCAGTATTGGTTGAATAGGATTACTTTTACCAAGGTTTTCAACTTCCGAGAAAGATGTCACCCTCCAGCTGTCAATATTTGTACAAGTGCTTGAATCTATTGCAGTCTCATCATCTTCAAAATATATGACATTCGAGATGGCTTTCAGGTTAGAACCGATTGCAGCCAATTTTTTAAGTTGCTTGGCGTCACAAATCAATGTGGATGCTTGAGTCTGTCAATGACCACAAGTGAATTCAATTCATTGCATATCACTAGAACCTCGCGTAATCTAGAAGAAAACATATTTAAATCTCCCACCTCATTTAACGAGTGTATAAGGGCATCATCTCCCAAAGAAGCATAAATAGTAACGACAGTTATATTCTGGCGGAAGCATCCCTGAGAACAATAATTTCAACTATAAAACTTGTTGTATTCCTGTAGTAATCAGATAACAAACAAATATAGAAGGCACTTATTGTCTGATTTTGACTTGACACGGAGTTTAAGAAAGTAAAGAAGACTTGTGGTTTTCAACATGCCACGTGGAAAGTTGAAATTATAGAGTTGCCA